CTCCAAATATCTGGGGCTGATTGAGTGACAAATTTGTCCTTTAGGATCCTCGCAGCTTTGGGGGGTGTAAGGGAGATACCCATATATTTACCCTCAACCTTTCCAGGAAGGCCACCAGGTTTTCATCTTGTGTTTGCGTAATAGTGGCTAATTTAGCATAATTTAAAGGTTTAACTTGGGACCTCATTAATTTTTCCAAAAACAAGCTTTGTTTTTTCCAAAAACAAAGGCCATCCATTCCTCAATGAGATGGTCATAGTCCCAATTAGGATCTTGGAGCAGGACTGCCTGGGTCCTTTCTGGTTCCCTATAGGACCTCTAGTCCCATGATAACTAATGAATTGCTTTCTGAGTCCCCATATCTCTCAGCTGCTGCCAGAACCCTATGCTTCTCTGTCTCATTAAGAGTCTGAATCAGCAAAAGCATTATATCTTTCCAGAATATTCTAAAAAGCCCTTATATGTCTATCTGGATCATCAGAAATTTTACCTAGATCTCCTTTTATCTGTCTTAAATCTTGTAATGAAAAAGTACTTGTAATCTTATCACAGTGGTGCCTCCTTGTGTCCTCCCTTCCAGCACTTGAGCTTCTTGTAGGGGAAATATGCCTGTTGCATTATGGGGAGGGCCTGGATAACATGGGCAGAAGGGAGCAGAAGTGTATGTTTTTAAGTCTGAATGTACAGATCGAGGACCTGAGGAGGAAGAGGCTGAGATGGAAGACTTCCCTTTCTCCTTTTCTAGGTCTGCTTTGGGTACAGGCAAAGGTTCTTATGAACTCTTGGAAAGCATTGCCAACAGGCCAGAATGGACCTTATACATAACTCGATTCTCTCTTAAGGCCCCCAAAACACTGAACATAGGTGACTTCTCCTCAATTCCTCCTCACATTTGTAAAACAGTCCAATTGGAGGATAGTATCATAATTGATATTTTCCTCTGGTGACCTGTTTTCCTCCTCTAATTTGTACTGGGGCCAAGACTTGGTGCAAAAGAAAACGAGTCGCTTTTCTTTCAGGGTATGTGGATCAAAATTATCCCAATTTGTGATAATGCATCCAAAAGGAGGATTGGCCTCGGTTGGGGAATTGCCAATTGCCTATAGAATTCCAATTTCTACAGGAAAAAGGAGGAATAGGCATCCCTTATCTCAATCTCCTATCTCTGGCCAGAAGAAACCTTATCTCCTAACCACTGTACTTAGCCTGGCTATGCAACTGGCAGCCAAAAGCCCTGTCAGTCTTGTGAGGTGCTGGCAGTAGTCGCTTTTACCCGCACTTGACCCTACCTCCAAGAACGACCTTGTCTTCCCGATTCCTCACACCCCTCCATTTCCCACCTGTGGGACTTCGGGGGTATCAGCTGTGACCAAGCAAGACTTCCCTGGATGTAGAGGATGTGCTCATTTTATTTTTGGCTGTACAGTAATTTATGTATTGATCATAATAAAAACTGTTCCTCTTTACAAATACATGTCAAAAGACTGGTGAAAAACCTTTTTTGTAAGGATAAAATTGGCCATTGAGGGGGGCTAAAAGCGTCAAAACTGAGGTCTATTCCCCTGCCTTTTCCAGCAATGCCCACATAAATACATTCCAGCCATGTGGGTATCCATTTTACAATATCGAGGTTGTTGCACATTGGCAGACACTGGGTTAAGTGTAGCAAAATGGCTCCCATGTATCTCACTAAAAACCCTCTATATTATCATAGCCATCCATCCATCCCTCATATGGCACAGGCCATATTCATCTGCCTTGCAGAAACACAAATGTAGAGTATTTGGAGGCCAGCAACGAGGGTATTGCCACCATTTTCCCAGCCTTTGGCTCAAAGGAGGGGGAATTTTAATCTTATACCAGGGTACTTTTAAAATCTGTTCATTTTAATCTTAGTCTCCCTGACCACACATAAAATTCCTTTCCAAAGATTTCCCTGCACGAACCTTCTACAATTTTCCTTTGCATTCAGATTTTGTCCCAAGCCATTTCTCTTCAAACTACCAGTCTTGTTTAGGACAAAATTCCCTTTTTTTTTTTTTTTTTTACTGTCAACAAAAATGTATTTCCTTTCCTTATAACTTAAACATCTACTTTTCTACAAACATATTTGCTTTTACTTATTTCCTTGCTTCCTTATTTCCTTATTTGTACCAGTGTTAATTACATTAAGCAGAATTTTAATGGTTAGAAACCTTAGTCTCCAGTGAAAACTAAGCAGTAACCAATTGTGAATTGTTACATCAGAATTCCTTAGATGGCAAACTTATGAATCAATTAAGCACAAAGCATGTTTTCCAACAGACCCAAATATCCTTAGTTTTTCTGCTATAAGTCAAAAGCATAGGGGCACCTGGGTGGCTCAGTTGATTGGATGTCTGACTTTGGCTCAGGTCAATGATCTGGCGGTTTGTGGCTTTGAGCCCCACGTCTGTGCTGACAGCTCAGAGCTGGGAGCCTGCACCAGAATCTGTGTCTCCCTCTCTCTCGGATGCTCCCTGCTCATGCTTTGTCTCTCTCAAAAATAAATAAACAATAAAAAAAAAGTCAAAAGCATAAACCTATGTTTAGTTAGCAATGCTTTAGCATTCCACCTGATTTAGAAAAGTCCTAAATGTCCAGTGAATTTCACCCAGTTTATCATCCAAGCAAAACTTCAAAGGTTCAGGTTATCAAGACCCTGAAAGCCATCTTAACAATCACCCAAGAACATTTTGAAACAAACACATTGCAACAGAGATAGCATGAGCTTATTTGACCTTTAGTAAACCTAAGTAGACAAATTTTTATATATTTAATGCTGATGACCATAAAGATGTGCATATCTTAATGAAACCAACAAACTTAAATTTAAATACCAAATATGTTCCATCTGTGCCTATTTAAAAGTCAATTAATTTGTTCCCCATTGTTACTTTTTCCCTGGGGCACCTGTGGGGAACTCTGAAGTGAGTGGCTCCTTGCTGCCCCTTGACCAGAGGGTGGGAGGAGGAGCTGGTGGTGCCTGAGGCCCTGAGGATGGTATAGGAACCAGTTTCTAGGCGGCACCCAAGGTGGTGTGGAAACAGGCAGAGGGAGGGCAATTGCGGCTGAAGGGATGAGCTTTGGTAAGAAGTCCAGAGGCAGATAAAAGCCCAGAGGGCAGACAAAAAGAGGTCTCCTGGTCCTAAAACCAGTCAGCTTGACTAGATGAGCAGATGTGGATTTTTTTTTTTTTTTTTTTTTCCACCAACAAGCGGAAATGGGCAGTCCATGTTGGGCCAGAGAAGATAGGGAAGTTCCCCGAAACAAAAGGAGTTTTTGCAGCTGCTTGGGACTATTCCTTAAAGCCCCCATCGTGAGGAAGACTAACCAGAGATAGTTGGCTCTTATTATAATCTGCACATTGTGGGAGCCTGCCAAATGTCTGAGTACAATTGTATGCAAATTATTATGTATATTCAAAGTTTTTAAATTTTACTGCAAAAATATGATGTAACATCTACGAAAATAATATGTGATACTTCTAATGTTTCTATGTGTCTAATCATTGTTGTACTCTTTGCTTTATGTATTAATTAGTACATAATTATTTTACCTGTGTAAGAAAAATGTAATGGTAGGCGCCGAAATAGGCATTCCTAGTTTCTGTCTGTCTTACCTCTAATAGTTAATTCAACAAATACACCATAATTACACTTATTTATTTTTAAAGAATGTTGGCATATTACAGTGCCTATTCTTCTTTCTTTTAATCCAATTAATTCCAGTGTTATGTGTGCTAACACCTCTGATCAGGCCTCATAGCCTCAGGCAGTTACTTGTTCAATGAATACATTATTAAAATATAGACCAAAGTTGGACACAGAAAATCTATGAAAATCTTGTTTCAATTCAAAATATACTCTCAAGAATGTGTGTGTGTATGTGTGTGCAGAGTTAGAGAGGGAGATATTATTTAACTTAATACAATATTTCTAATTCTATTATCATTAGTAGTCATATACAGTTGAGAAATTCCTATTCTTAGGCCTCATATACTAAGACCTTTTATGCATTTTCTCATTTAATTCTCACAATAAATCTAAGTTTTTACTTAGGAGGAGGACTCTATTTAGGGAGGTTAACAGCAAATATTAAATAACACAACTGGGATTAGGATGTCTGAACTATAAGGTTATATAGATACAAATACATTTAAGAGAAAATATCATAGTAAGCAATAATTGTAGTTTCAGGCCATGTTGACTATCTGCAGTAGACTCATTAAAACAAGACTTGTTGAGCATCTGCTCCCGGGAAGACCTGGTAAAGGACACTTGCAGTGAGAACAATGCAAATAACTATAATGCAATGTAGTGGTTCTAAGGTGCCGCTAGTTTGGAGAGCTGTGTGCTGTGGCACTGTATAGAAGCCATTTATTTTGGGAGGGTGGCTTCTGGAAAGAAGCGCTATCAAATATAAAACCTGCAAAGGGAGCAGAAGCAAGGCAACCAAAAGAAAAGGGTACTCTGGGTATATAGAATAAGGCAATATAGTGCACAAAGTGAGAAAGAGAAGGCCCTTCTTCTACTTAAACTGAAAGTTGTTTCGTATCAGTAGAGAGCAAAGTGTGAAGATAAAGGAGGATTGTAAAGGGTCAAGTCTAAAATTGCATCCAGGATTTTTACTTCAGCAACTGGGTCAAGGCTGTTGCCTGTTAAAGCAGGCATTAATTTCATTCTGAATTCAATGATATAGTTTTGAGGGGATAAGCAGTGGAGATATTCATTTGTTCTTGGACTATATTGAGAATTGGCACCCTAGGAGAGGAATGTGAGTTGCAAATTAAAGCTAAAGGTAAAATATTTTTATGAGCTTAACGATTACAATTAATTCTTTATCTTGTATTAGACTTTGCTTTAAAATGCATTGTTTAGCTTTAGAGTGATGTATCCACATGCACACACTCAGACACACATAAATACAGCTTTTGTTATTTGGTTATTTTTTTTTTCTCAAGATAATTTTTGTTTCATTAGGTTATGAAGGTGAGAATCTGATGAAAATCCTAAAAGACATTGAAAACAGCACAGAAATCATGTTGGACAGGTGGAAGTTTGAAGTCATACCTAATGACAAAGATGAGAAGGGAGACCCAGTGCCTTACAGTATCATCAATAATTACTTTTCCATTGGCGTGGTAAGATTTTGCGTTAAATGTTCTTTTTTACCAGTCTGGAATAATCACTGTGTATAAACTCTTACACTGTGAAGATTTACTGATTATAAATAATTTATTTTACCTCTGTGTCAGCAAAACACCTCTTTTAATGGGCTATAATAAAACTTACGAATTTATTCAAAGTCAAAGAATCAGCAATAGATAAATTTTTCATGTGTTAAACAAAGGAAAGAAACTTTTTTTTTCCCCAGTTGATTTGACTATTTGGGTTACTAAAATAAAGGGTAGAATGGTTTGTAAGATAGTTATGTTTATGAATATAGACTGAAACTCCACAGTTAAAATGTGAAGATGATGCATCAAATTTTATCTTACTTTGAGATATGTATCAAAATATTATAACCTATTAGGTTTTTACGCTTAGGTCTGAAGTCTAAGAAAAATGCTACTATCATTCTCAAGTGGTTAAAATGTCAAAAGGCTAACTTTTTACTTAATTTCTTGAAAAATCTTAGATGGAAAGTAAAATATCATTTGACAATTAAAATAATTATTGTAATTCTAATCCCTAAGGAATTAATATTTTTAATAGTGATTTTATACATACATATATGTTACTTGGTAATTATTAATTCTTAAGATATATTATGTACATTACATTTCATTTAACGTACACTGTTTAATATTAATCTCATGTCATGCTACATACTGTCTCATGTGCCTGCACACACACACACTCACACACACTCAGACACACACACACACACACACAAGCACCCACACACACTGCTCTCGTAGATTACAGAAGTCATTGATTGAATCTGTGAATTTAGGAAGTTAAGCTACCTGAGCAAGGTTCCTTTAGCAATATTTTTTCTGAGTGTCCATTTATTTATCTGTACTCTCATTGTTACAAATAATGTCGTTATACATTTAAAGAGCCTCAAACAATGGTACATAATGAAAGGTAAATATACAATCATTAATAATACTATTACACTATTATTATTTGCAACAAAAGTGTAATGCATTTGATCCAAAAAGTCCTACTTATATTTGATATGAAGTATGCATAATAATGTTTTTAACCGTTTTATGGGCATGTAACTTACACACAACCTAATTCACTCATTTTAAGTGAACTATGATTTTACTAAATCCATCCAATTTTACAAGATTTTCATTACCTAAACAAGAAGCTTCATGCCCATTTGTAGTCAATTCTGGCTTCTTCACCTAACTCTAAACAACTAATTTTTTTGTATATAGATATTTCACCTAAAAGAAATCATACAATATGTAGTCCTTTGCATCTGGCTTGTTTCACTTCACATAATATCTTTGAAGTTCACCCATATGAACTGCATAAATACTGTATTCCATTTTATTGCTGAGTAGTATCCCATTGTGTGGGCATGCCACATATTGTTTACTCATTCACCAGTTGAGAGGCATTTAGATTGTTTTGATTCTTTGGATGTTATGAATAATGCCATTCTCTTGAGTTCCTTAAGTGTATTTTTTGTTTGTTTTGATTAATGTAGTTTTTAACTCCAGAATTTCCATTTGTTTCTCCTTTTATAATTTCTCCATTTTTAATTGGTATTTTTTATTTGAAGAGTCATTGTTGTTATGCTTTCCTTTATTCTTTAAATATAGTTTACTTTAGTTCCTTTGACATGTTTAAAATAGCTGTTGTGAAGTCATTTTCTGCTAAGTTCAACATCTGGTGCTCATCAGAGAATTTAATAACATCTTGACCACATCCAAGACTATTTTTCCCAAAACATGTGCCACAGTTTGCTCTTCCTCTGCATGTCTTCTAATTTTTTGCTGGTAACTGGATATTATATACAATTTATTGTAATAAGTTTGGATTTGGATCTGCTCACAGTGGTTATAGTTGTTCCTGTGTTTGTTTAGTGACTTGCCCACACTTACCATGTGGAGCATTTCTCTCCTGTGGTGTATGGCTGCTGATGACTCAGTTTTGTTTTGTTTTCTCTTTTTAATTCTTGTGTTTATTTTAATCCTGGCTTCCTGGAGATCACCTCTGTGTCAGCATGATTGATCAGAGTTTGTGCTCAGTAAGTTTGTGGCAATAAATCTTCACCCCTTTGCCATTGGATCTGTGTGTTCGCTGGGGAACACACATACACTTCAGGCAATTTTTAATCCTACTTCAGCTTTTAATATCTGCCATCCCTACTTCTGTCTCTTTTGCCCATGCATAAAAATTCTCACTAGTCAAGGATGTATAGTCAACTAGGGCTCTTTTTGGTCTTTCCTGAACATGTTTGCAGCCTTGCACGTGCATACAGCCTTTCAGACAGCCAATCAAGGCCCATTATGGCTATCTCATTCCTCAGGTCTCCTGTTGAATTTCCTGTTAGCTGGCTCCTTAGTTGTTTGCCTTAATCAGTTTTGCAAACTCAAGCCAGCTGGGACACTGGCCTTCCTTACCCACTTGCTACTGAGATTACTCTTGTTTTAGATAACTCTCTGGGTCATGGAGTTTTTCTACCTTCCACTCCAAATCCAATCAGTTCCCCTGCCAGTAAAGTTGCTTGCTTTCATGGCTTGCTCACACTTTAGAAGTAGAACACTGATGGAGCTGGAGGATAAGGGAGTAGCCCAAAGCTGAATCATGCCGATTGCCACTGCTCTTATCTGAACTTAAGTAGTTTTTCTTGGATAAACACTTCTCAGTTTTTATATGCTTTTGGTCAGTTTCCAGTGGCCCTCAACAGCATATAATTTTTTTCCCACCACAGGAGATACTTGGCAATGTTTGCACACACATTTGATTGTCATGAATGAGAGGGGATGGCTATTGGCAGCTAGTGGGTAGAGGCTAGGAATGCTGCTAAGCACTCCCAGTGCACAAAACAAGCCCCCAGACACACAAGAAAGAATTACATAGCTCAAAATGTCAGTAGTGCTGAGGTTGAGAAACCCTGGTATCAAGAAACAGACATATTAAATACAAAACTCAAGGTGTTGGGAAAGGAGAAATAGCTAAAACCCAAAGAAATGAGAAAGGAAACTAATAAAAATAAGATGGGAAATATAGCAAAGATTAACAACAACAGGAAAAAAAAAATATATAGAATGCTGGCACAACAAAATACTGGATAATTGAAAAGAATTAATCAGTTCTATTGCAAAATTGATTTTATAAAATTACAGTGGAGAGAATTACAAATAAACAATGTAGAATGAAAAAGACCAGAAAAACAAACAAATAAAAAAACCCATAGACACAAAATATAATATCTCAATTGAAAATATATTAGAACTAAATATGGGAGAGTAGCAAAGTTGCCAAACTGAAAACCAACTTAAATATTCAAAGTATAAGGTGTCTGCGTGGCTTAGTCGGTTGAGCATCCAACTGTTGATTTTGGCTCAGGTCATGATCCCAGGGTTGTAGGTTGTAGGCCTGTGCCAGGCCCCCTGCTGAGTGGAGCCTGTTTAAGATATTCTCTCTGTCTCTCTCTCTCTCTCTCTCTCTCTCTCCTCTCTCTCTCTCACTGTCTCCCACTCTCTCTCTCTTTCTCTCCTCCTGCCCCTCTCCCCCACTCATGTTTGTTTTCTCTCTCTCCCTAATATATATATTCACAAATACTCCATTATATCAGCAATAATCAATGAATTTACAAAAACAGCAGTAAAAAACAGAAAACATCTAATAATTAATAAAGTATATACAAGACCTATGTATAGAAAATGTTAAAACTCTCTACAAAGACATGAGGGATCAGAACAGAGACATTTCCTATTCTTAGATGAGATAGCTTAATATAATATGCAAATTAATTTATACATTTATCTGTAACTAATGAAGATTAGCGCTGGATTTATGACAAATTCGAAAAACCGATTTTAAACTATATATCCCAAAGTAAGTCAATTTCAATACAAAGAAAAGATGGAGAACTGTTTGACCAAATTAGACATACCGCAAGTGGCCTGGAAATGATAATAGAATGGTGCTGTGAAATGAAAAGATGGATGAATCAGAGAGGTAGAGGGACATATAATGACAGTATAGACATGGCACAAAGACTCATTGGCGAAATGACAGATTGTATAGTTCAGATTGCAAATCACTTAATGTTCAAAAATTAGCTTCCTAAGGAAAGACAATTTTGTTAGAAGTCTACCTCACATTACATAGGTAATTGCTAGATGTATTTAAGTACTAAATTTGAAATGCCAAGTTTAGGACCTAATAAAAGAATATATCAAATATATTTGTGATTTTGAAGTAGAACAGAAATAACTAAACAAAGTGGATTTTGAGTGAGGTCACTTTAGAAGGGTCTTTGTCCGTTTGACTTGGAGCCTCTTTCAGTGAGTAAAACATGGGAATGTGGGGTAGGAAGAAAGGAGAAAATCCCTCCCTGAGATATTTGCTTCTGCCCCAGCAATCCAAAGGCTCAACACTCAGGATCGGAATCAGAGCAGAGTTCAAGCTTTGGCTGTCCCTCAGCAAGGCCACCTTCTACTTAGCAATTTGTATTCTCCTGTCTCAGTGGATCCAAAAAACAATAAAATGAAATGAATGATCTATCTCAAGCTATTCCTGAATATATAAGAAGCAGAGCAGTTGGAATATTGAAAGGATGAGGGGGGGATTTCAGCTTTTTCATATCACCAGCATGGGACACATGAAGTTGGCATACAATTTGTACTGGAAACTATCTCTTAGAACTTTATACCTCCTAGTTACAAGGAGATCTCAAAGTTTGACTGTATTATCAGTAGAGTTTTCAGGATTTCATGTATTGCCCTTCATTGGCTGGCCATAAGCGTTTTATACTTTATGTAGAACTTGCTTCAAACTTTTAGAAAAACCTGTGACGGTCAGAAATATATAAATATCATCTTCATATGCCCTGTGGAATATCCCTTGTATTAGTCAGAGTGGGTTGAGTACTGGCACAAACAACCCCAGAATAACAGTGGTCTGACAACAACTAAGGATTAGTTCTTCCCTTGGGGTGCCTGGGTGG